TTTATTTTGATCCTTATTACACATAACTGCAATACTAACTAATCAATATATTTTGCATATAATTTTAATATTACAGGTTGAAAGACATACAATTTCAGAATTGCGTAAATATGTATAAACTAATAGATATAGTGTTTCAGTATTAAAAAAACCTGTTATTCATCGAAAAAGATTTACTGCAGAAATGTTAGATCAGTTTGAACAATTTTTTTCTAATAAAGAAATTGTGAATATGAGTTCATACAAAACCGATACCTCTACTGGATTGCTACTTTTATATTTGCAAGATCACAAAAAGGCATTATGGAAACGATTTTCAGAATAGTATCCTAATGATATGCGAAGAATTTCTTTTATGACTAAATTAAAAGGTAGACGATTTGTATATCAGGATAATCTTAGTAGATTATGTTCAACATGTAATAATAATGGCTATTTAGTATTTGGTGATATTAATATACTAATTGCAGCATATATAACTAATGAATTAATACAAGTAAGTAAATAAATCAAAAAATTCAATTTTTTAATTTTTTAAAAATTCAAATTTTTTTAATAATAAATTACAATTATAGAAACAATTATTAGAAAAATCACAAGACTTACAGCGTTATATCTATCGTCAATATTGCAAATCACTTACTATTACAATAGATGACATTAGTTTGCACAATAAATGCATAAGTCACTGTATTTGCCATATATTTGGAGATTGTAATCTTGATCATCCTGATACCTGTGATAATTGCGAAAGTTTATTTAGTTTTTTTGATCAATTAAAAAAACAATTAGGATCAGAATTTAATAATATGCTTGATAATTATCAAATAAAACTTATATTATGGATGGCTTATCATACACGTAAAACTTATCTTAATATTCATATAAGAACAAATCTTGAAGAACTTGATGCTGAAGATGCTGTGATAATAGTAGATTATAAAATGAAAATTTTTTCTACAAGTGCAAGAAAGACAAAAAGAGAATTTTTTGGAAAACGCGATTGGAGCTTACATTCAGTTTTGATTTATACAAAGAATATAGAAAATAATTGTCTAAATATTCAAGTATATGATTATTGGTCAGGTGATACACGTCAGGATGCATGGTTTACTGCTTCCTCTTTGCATACTGTTTTTGAAACTCTTCAACCAAGATCTAAATGGGTAACAATTTTATCATACATTATCATTATACGGAATTGATGCTTATTATAGGTTACTGGAAAGAGTAATACAATATTATTCTGTGACAATGGCTGTTTTTGGAAGCAGGTGAAGTAAAAATAGCAATAGACTCTCACTATACACAGGTATACATTACTTTTTCAATAAATCTAAAAAGTATTACTAAAATAATTTACAATTTAGATATTACAAGCAATAAAACGGTATATAAAATTAGATTTTGAAGTAAAAAATGGTGATGATATTGAAAATGCCATCAAGGATATCACAGGTACACATGTGGCTAACTTAAATTCAAATAGAAATACAGGTATTTTTAATTTTTAATAATAAATATTACACTAACTAAATAATACTAATAAATATATTTCATAATTAGATAAAGAAAAACTAGATACTATAATGGAAATTTCAAATTTTCAAGAATGGATCTGGCCTCAAAGTGAAGAAAAAAGTGGATACATTTATGCTCATGCTCTGCCAGGTATTAGTACTTGGAAAGAGTATTCACCTGGAAAAATAGAGAAAATAATAAAGAAAAGAAAATTTGAAAAATCTCATCCAAATTATACTCAACATACAAAGCTAAGTAAATATTGGATTACACTAATTGTGGATAAACCCAGTAAATTTGTATTACTTTTGATTATTATTATTTGAATTACTAATTTGAATCGGCTCTTTAGTATGTATAAATAAGTAATAGTGTTTATAGCATCAGCAATTTCATCTAATATCAATAATGGCATTATTAGAATCAGGCAATAATTGATATAACAAACCAGATGAACTAAATGGAAATCAATAACGAACTTGCACAATATAATTCACAAAGGTATAATATTATTATTTTGCGTCAGAGTATTATAAAAGGATTTTATTGACAAAAAAAAAATTGTTTTATAGTCATAAGTTTTTTTTTTCCAGTTGGGCTTTAAAAAAATGAAAAATCTGAATGCATGAATTAGTAAAAAGAATGCCTACAGAAGTTAAATATTTATTGGAAATAATGTTTCACACAAGAACAGCCAATTCTCGTTAGAAAATGAGTGCACAACAAATGCATGAGGAATTGTTATAGTGAATACAAGAAGATGAATTATATGAAGAAGATATACCTAAAGTTTCAACTATTCAAAATTTGATTTTGGGTTTTTCAAGAAGGTGAAAAGAAGCAATGGCACTTTGTTCTATAGACAAAAATAGTGAATAAATATAGTATTTATAAAAATAAATATAAAATAAATATTTAAATTACAAAATAAATATAAAATAAATATTCAAAATTATAAATTTTATACATATTTAAATATAAAAATAAATATATATATGTATGACATTTACCGTGAATCTACCGTTGCTCCAAAGTAAAAAAATTTTGACAGAGTTGATGTATATTTTTTTTAAAAAAACAGTTTTTTTGACATTTTTTACAAATAATCACGTGGTTTGGATAGTCTGTGTTCAGTGTTGATCATTCTAACCTTATTTGAATTCTTGTAATTTGAAGATACATTATAATTGATTGGCAAAATTTGCCTGAATTAATATATCAATTTAGTGCTGATCTCTGGCGGATTACGTTTTAAGAGGTTTAAGAAGAAGAGAGAAAAGATGAAGAAGAAGATATGGAAGAATAAGAATTAGTAATATAGAAAGTGGATAAAGAATAAATACAGATTCTAGATTTTGAAATTGATGACTTATTGAAATCCAGTTATTATCACAGGCCTTTTAAAAAAAGTGCAAGCTTCTATTTACTTATATATGAAAGAATATTGGCAAGTGCTTAAACTAGTAAGAATAATAGTATCAATTATAGATTCTTGATTAAAAAGTCTCAAATTTGTTAGTGATGATACTATCAAATTTCAAATAATTGAAAAATTACGTGATTTTTACTTTAATGAGTAATTAGCAAATGAATTTGATCCTTTAGATTTTACTGGTAATACTAATATCAAACAAAGCACAACTACATTTTTATTATCAAATTCTATTATTACTGCATTTCTTGATGATGATATTAATGATGATAATGTTGAGAATAATGAAGTTGATGCTTACTTGAATTTACAAATATCAAAAAAATGTGATCCCCTTAACTGGTGAAAGGAAAATTCAAAAAAATTTCCTTTATTAACACAAATTGCACATAAATACTTGTCAATACCAGTCACTTCGGTACCTAGCAAAAGTCTTTTTTCAGATACTGAATTATATATTACAGCACTTTGTAACTGTTTAAATTTAGAATTAGTTGAGCAACTTTTATTTTTAAAATAAAATATAACTTTATTTCTGATTTTTCTACTAGTTGAATAGTTAATATAATACACTAAATTTAAAGGCAATTTGTATAAAATTTTATATGCAGAAAATTTTACGTTAATTTAATAAAATAATAGTTTCAGTCATAGGACATGTCCCCTATATAAGGGTTAAAATGCTATTCATATGGTAATTAGATGTCGATCACTTTAATTTTTATATGGAAATTTTGCTTTTACAAAAAGTATTCCTTATGGATAACCTTATATTTGTGAAACTAGTTATCTATTATTAAGTTAGAAATATATTTGTGATATTTCTTTATTATATCATAAAGTCTTGACCTCTATTTTTTATTTAGTTAAAAAAGAATCTTCATTTGAAGTTAGAGTGTGCTAACCTTTGTAATATACAGTTTTATTACTTTAGACCTTAAATTTATAATTTACGCCTATATTTTCTCTCACTTATCAATTTCTTTTGAAAAATTATCCATTTAACATTTGAGTTTAGAGTACATTTAGCAAATCAACCTCTAAACAGATCCCATTTTCCCTAACCTTTACAATATTTTTTCAGGTAACATTCAAATAAACATTTTTACCATCTAACAACCTTTAGTGGCTAGTTGAAAAGTACGCTTTCAGATATTTTAAGCAGGTAAGTATAAGAGGGAATTAGATGAAGCAATAAATGTATTTAACTTTAAAACTACTATCTATTATTATTATCTATACGATTAATTGGCTAACTAACTAATCACTTCCTTTTTATTATGTAGTCTCAAAATAACTTGTAGAACTACTGAATCCATCTCTTTCCAATCTATCTATGTGAGAAGTATCATATAAAAGATACATTGAATTTTGTAATAGTCATAATGTAAAGGAGAACATAGTTAGTAATTAAAAAATTTTAAAAAAAAAGAAGTCATAGCGTAAACCGAAGATATATGTTTGTAAAATATAAAATAAAATCATAAATAAATAAATCTCATCCTTTCTTGTTAAACAAAAAATCCTCAATTCTGTTCTTTATAAAATGTAAATTGATCTTGTTTTGTTGTAATTATTTACTAACTACGCTCAAAGGACTGATTACTGTGACTGAATCCTTGTTGATCGACATTACCAAAAAATGTCATTTCTGTTAGATCTGACATTTCTAACATTTCTGACAGGACCTTTAGACCACTACCACCTTTTGCATCATTTCGGTCATCTTCGGATCAGCTTTGCCCTATTGATATTTTTAACAGTTAAGAAAAGATTAATTAAAGGTAAATTCTAAATAGAAATTAAGCATATAAATAGACTTAGCTTTCTCTCCTGTTTTGGATATCTTCTCTTAAGAGCGTCTAATAAGATAGTTGAATTCCTTGAATATTATTAATAAAAATACCGATCCCTTCTAAATACTTCTTATATTAAATATTGTTTGTTATAAATTTGCTAGATCGACATTTGTAAATTCTCTGTAAAACATATCTTACCATCTTCAAGTTTCCACAAAATAATCATAAGTGATTTTGAATTTACTTATATGAATTTTGAGGAATACAGCGCTAGCGCTTCCGAAGAAATAAATGATGATATTTTTGTTGATCAAATTACCTTTGCAAATGCTCAAACCTTACTAAACGATGATGATGACAATGATAATATGAATTGGAATGAGATTGAACCTGAAGATTTTAACCCTTATAGTAATTCCTTTCAAATAAATAATGACATAGACGTAGAAATTGAAAGTACCTTCACGTAAAGTCTAAATTTAACACCATGTGTAATTATAAATATTATTCAAGGTGAAATAAAACGTTGTGATAGTACAGCAAACCTATGATAATTGGAGCAAATGATAAGGACATGGGAGATAGATACAGATGCAGTTGAAGATGTTAAGAGTAATTTTAATTAGCTTGGAGTGTGCTATTTCCATTTTCTTTTTGATCAGAACTAACTTTATGATAAAGACATGAAACAATCACGTTTAATTGAGCAGAGCATTATCCATTTTTGCTTCTGCATTTTTTGTAATAAGAAAAAATGTTTTTTTAGCCATAGTAATAGTTGTGAGAAGCATTCATGAAGTATCAATAAGCATAATATTCAAGTACCCTATGTTGATGTTTATAACTGATCTGCATTTACTGAGGAAACTATTGCAAAAAGTCATCTTTAGGCTATTGTGCATGTTATATCTGCTCAGAATGCTTTCAACAACAGGACGGACATTTGTATGAAAGACCAGGTAAAGGCCAAAAAATTGCATCATGTACTAAATGTAAGAAACATTATGATGATACAAGTGATGCTCTAAGACATATCAAAAGATGGGTAATATTGGTAGTAGAGTCAGGTGATAATAAGTTGCAAGAAAGACTTCTATCTCTGATAACCCCAACATTAGCTATTTTTATCAATAAAACAATGAAGGAAAACTTATCAGAAATAGAAGCGGTAAAACTTCTAAGTAAATTATTTATTAGAATAGCATTAAGAATAGGAAAAGTTGAATCAAATAAGTTAAAAAAGGAAAGGTCTCATATAGTAACTCTAGAAGAAGCTTCAATGATGGAAGAAAAATTAGAAAGATAAGTTTTATTTTCGCATTCTAAAATTTAGCAAAATATTGGTCAATTAGAAAATCCAAGTTCATATGAAAGTTATTTTGATGCATTATCCAAAATTATTTGCGGTTTCTTTCAAGCCTTCATCACAGTACTACAACAATAAAAACAAAATATTATTAATAAAAAGAGGCTTCAACGTGGTTTCTTCCAAAATCACTTAATATAAGTCAAATATCAAAAACAATCACTTTATTAATCTTCATGTTACTAACCATCGCTTTCCCTAGAATGAAAATCTGACTTTCCTACATGATATCATCAATATGCCAAAAGCCAAAATTGCTGCCATACTTACAAGAGATCCTTCATTCAGTATGTATCATATCTTACACTAAGCAGCATGAAAATCGTCTTGAAAAATTTAAGATGCATCATACAAACCCTAGAGAGAATTTGATCGAAGGATCAAATATTTGGAATTTGGCAGTAATTAACAATATCAATTTCAAAGCTTCTACATTCTCATATGGCAATATTTTTGATATTACATAACAAACTTCATACGCAACATTACAAATGGTATTTTAGTTCACTATTCCAACCTTGCTTGATAACCTAATTAGAGACCATGAATCCGTTAATCAACCACTATTTGGGGAGTTTTCAACTACCAATGATCTTTTAATAATGTATGAGAATATTTTAAATATAATGTTAGAGACTCGCATGAATAAATTTGATATAGAGGATATATACTCAGAAATCACTAAGCAAATATCTATAGGTTGCAATACTCTACCACCAAACATTGTGATATTGAAATCCAGTAATTCACCCAACTGCAATGAAAATGTTCATGCAGCATGTGAAATATACTGTGATGATTTATCTCATGGTAATAATGACTATCTATATATTGCATATGATCAAGTAATTTTTGGGAGATTAATTTCCTATAAGGAAATTCATGAAGATATTTGACTTTTTTGGGGGCAGTGGCATACATCTAAAGATATGTGCAGTACTCTAATTACAATATTCTTAGGGTATGGAATATTCAATTTTGTGGCAACTAAAGATGGCACTGCAACTGGTTGCAACCGGTGACAAATAAGCATCATAGGATTGCAATTAGTTGTAACATTAATAAAAATTAAGTTGCAACTAGTTGTAACTGGTGACAAATAAGTATCACATGGTTACAACTAATTGCAACGCCATCTTTAGTGGTAACCCTTAGTGTACAATACTTAGATAAACTTGAACGTGTCATAGATTACTGGGCAATATATCATATATTGAAATTAATCTAGATCGCAGTCAGGATTGCATTGTGTCAGTATGTGAAAGCAAAGGAGAAACAATAGATGACATTTTGAAAGTTGATAATCAATTCATAAAAGTATAGTATCTATTTTTCTGTTGGACGAGATACTTAGTGGGTCATAAAATTAGAATTAGAAGGGAAAATTACAGGATGCAAATATTAAATTTGGCTGCGTTCGCATTTCTCTTCCCTGCAGCTGAAAAGTTTAAGTACGCAAGTTCTGTAGTACACTTTTTAGCTCAAGTTCATGATGACCTACAGTTATAGAAATTATTACAAATGGTATGCTCAGTAAATCTTATAAGCGAAGGACATTATTTAGCTTTTGATGAAGCACTTGAAATATATGGCATAAAGTTCATAAAGCAAAATATTACTGGAAATCTTACCGATCAGCCGACCATGATGTTGAAGGTTAAAGCAGCCCAAAGCGAGAGAAATCATTTATCAATGCTTCTTGCAGAATACACTGATAATGTTGTAGTGAGTCAAAATACTTATGCAATCAAGTCACGCAAAGATTCACTCTATTCCTTAATTGTGAAGTTATCATCTGCCTATAATTATCCAAATCCTGCAACATACAATTTATTCAAAAATGCACCAGAAATCAATGAAAAGGGTATTGAAAACATTCTTTCTTTTTATGAGTTTGGCAAATCACGCTTTTAATAAATTCTCTCGCAAGATGTATATAAAACTGAATTTTGAGTAACTTCTGAACGTCATGCATAAGTCATAAATCATTATATTTATGCTCAGCTTGGAGGTATGAAGAAACGAAAAGTTGGTCAAATAGACAACTCTACTCATCCATCAATTGTTCAACAGCATACTTTATTACCTTTGTTACTTTCATTACCTTCTGATACCAATCATCTAAAAAAAATACGTCGCATTACTACGAATGCAGAGAAAGCTATACTTAACCAATTATTTGAATTTGGAGAAAAACCACCTGAAATTGCAATATTAAAGTATTATCAGAACTTCAAACTGTCTCTTCAGACTAGACGACTGAAAGAGTCAAACAATATTGGAGAAATAACTCCCACAAGATTCAAAAATAAAGTATAGGTAACATTAAGCTGATATTTACATTAATAATATATAAAGATACAATTTAAACAATTAATAATAAATTAATTTTTTTTTAAAAGATCAGACTTTAGTTGCATTAAAGTACGCATCTGAATTTTTCATTATTAGAATCCAGAAATCCTAATACTACAATATTTCTAAGCAAACGTCTAAAAATCATAAGTAAAGTACCTTTGAATTAATAATATATTTTGTAGTACTTTATATTTACTGCCTTTTGACAAAAAAACAGACTTAAAACTAAAGTATTCAAAAGAAAATCTTGGAATTTATGTTAAAAAATAGCATTTTTTCAAGTCATATTATACTTGGTATTCCTAGTATGAAATGAAAGAGTAAAACTCAGAAAATAAAACTTGTCTAAGGTCAAAATGTTGTTTACAATAGGCTAATTAAAGTATTTTTACAAGAAAGTCATATTGTTATACATTGCACAAAAATCAATTACTATTAAAATCATCATGAGGGACATGTTCTGTGACTGGTATACATAAAGAAGATAATACAAATAATATTTTTTTTTCAAAGTTATTTGTTTTTTATTTATATTTAATGGTACAAATATATAAAATAAAATTAATTTAAAATATATGCATTAAGTTATTAACAAATATTAAAGATGAGTTTGCAATTGATTCTGAATCTGCAATATTGCAAACTTTGAAATTGAATTTTGTATAGTAATCTACGTCCCTAATAAAAATTTATAAAAAAAAAGAAAAACTGTTAATATACATTTTTAAAGATAAAATCAACCCACCTGCCAAAATTAATTTTTTCAGAAAACTTAAGACTAAAATATACAAAAAAATGATACAAAAGTAAGTAGTAAATATTCATTTTATATAAAAAAATTAACAAATTAGACTTACTTTGATCTAAGATTTCAGATTGATTTAAAAAGTAAGTTAATATTAGTTTTTTAAAATTAAAAAATATTTTAACAATATTTCTTATTAGACCTTACTTTTGATCCAGTTTCAACTTAAGGCATCAAAAATTTGAACAATTTCTATAAAGATAAATTAAAGCTAATATAAGTGGTTTTTTTTAAAAAAAAATTAAAAATTCACCATTAAAACTTACTTCTAATCTGATTAAAACTCAAGCTTTCAAGGATTTTTATCATTCTACAAAAGTAAGAGTAAATATTAATTTTATTAAAAAAAAAACATTAATTATTCTATTAGGACTTAGCTATAATCTAAAATTCCATTGTTATAGATTCTGGATTGGTCTTATAAAGGTAAGTTTTTAGTTTTATTTTAAAAAATTAAAAAAAATTTAAATGACAAAATTTTTCAATTAAGCTTACCTTCGATTCAAAATTCAAAAATTAAAATCATCCTATAAAGGTAAATTGATGTTAATTTTTTTTAAAATTTAAAAAAAAAATAATTAACAAATTTTTTCATTAGAACATACCTACAATAAGATTTTAAGAATCTGTTCTATAAAAATAAGTTTAGCGTTAATTTTTTAAAAATTATAAAAAAAAAGTTATTAATAAATTATTCTACTATATAGACTTATCTCTAATAAAAGATACTAAATAGTAGGAGGAGGTTATTTAACTTTGGAAACTACTCTATATATAAGTAATGTAGCCAGACTCTAGACTTAAATGGATTCTGATAAGTATCTGTAATTTTTTTTAAAAATAAAAAATAAAAAAACATTAACTAATAATTTAAAAAATTAGGCTTATCTTCAATCAGTCCTAAAATTTAAAGATTTTAGACTATTTCTCTATCGCTCTTAGCTGAATGATAAAAATACTGCTAATAAATTAAAACTAATAGTAGACTTAAAAAAAGAATGGGAGGAGTTAAACTCTCCTAAAATAAGCCAGTTAACCACTCAAATTTCTTTGCGGCAAATTATTCATCAGTTTTAGCAAGATTTAACTTGCCCTAAGGGTTGAATAGTGGCTGGATGAGATATTACTTCTTAAGTTCTACCTCAGGTAAAAATTAAAATTTTTCTAACCGTTAGTTTAGCTACTCGGGTCTCACGCCGCTATCAGCAAATGGCTTCAACTTCTTCAAATCACACCCTTGATCAAGTAGCGACTGAATTAGTCTAGTGCGATCATTGTAACCAAAATTGTCCTTTAGCTCTGCTACAAAAAACTGCTGATAATTAAAATTAGATACTACTATCTTCTTACCTTAAGAAATCATGAAAAAAATCTTACTTAAAAGAACAAAAAGTTCTTTCTACTGATGATAAGTTTTAATGTTGAATTTTTAAAATCAAAAAAAAAATTAAAACAAATTTATCTATTAGGGCTTTACTTACAATCTAATTCCAATCCAAAATTTGGACCGTCCTATAACGAAATGGTAAGTTTATTTTTACCTTTTTTTTTAAACAAATTAATTAACAAATAATCATTTCTCTTATATAAAATTTTCAAATTCCCAATATTTTGTGACTGCCACATCTCAAAATTTCTTTAATAATTACCATAAATTTTCTATGGAGTTCAAGTTAAAACTGTAGATGGTCAGTTAATGATAGTTGGAATTTGAATTTCTTAACTATGTGACTCCTATACTTAGATTGTTATTCTGCTCAGCTTGAAGCACTATTTACAATGATATTTACATTATTTAATATTATTTCATGATATTAACTAAAATAAAAATCATTAAAAGTTTAGATTGAAAAAATTTATATTACATTTATTTGTAAAATTGCAAATTTAAGATTAGATTAAAATTAGAAATATTTTAAAAATATAACAATAGATAAATATATGTACTAATATATTAGAGTTTTGAATTAGATTAGGTTGATCTGTTTATCTGACCTGACCTGACCTAAAAATTCAGGTCAGATCAGTAAATTTTCAGGTTAATATCAGTTTAAATTAACAGATCAACTTAATCTAACATAACAAAATTCAGGTTAACTGATCATCATTCTTGAACAATAGTTTTATTATTCTTAAATAATATTTTATTGTCTTTGAATAATGATTTTATTATTCTTAAATGATATTTTATTGTTTAATTAGAATAATATTTTTATCATTTTTAAATGATTGTTTTATCATTCTTAAATGATATTTATTATTTTTGAATATTATTTATCATTTAATTAAAATGATTCATTATTATTTTGAATGATATTTTATCATTATTGAATGATAGTTTTTTCATTTTTAAATGATGATTTATTATTCTTAAATGATAATTTTATTATTCTTAAATGATGATTTATTATTTTTAAATGATAATTTTATTATTCTTAAATGATATTTATTGTTCAATTAGAATGATTGATTATTATTCTTAAATAATATTTTATTATTTAATTAAAATAATTCATTATTATTCAAGAATAATATTTTTATTATTTTTGAATTATATGTTTATCATTCAAGAATAATCTTTTTATCATTTAAAAATAATGTATTTATCATTCTTGAATAATAATTTTATTAATCAGATCAGATAAAATCAGATTAAGTAAAAATTTAAATTAAGTCAGATTTTTGTTTGACCTAACTTGATCCTCTCAGTTTAGGTAATTTGATTAATCTAACCTAAATTAATCTATTCTAAACTTTAATATATATAAAAATATAAAATAATATATAATATATATTGAAAAATATATTAAATAAAATATATAATAACTACCAAAAGAAAATATAAGTAATCATTTTTTTAATTTTTAAGTTTTGAAGATTATTTTATATTAGAAAATTTAGTTTAATTAAGAATTTCAATTTTGTATAAATTATTAATTTATACAAAAATCTGTATTTAGTAAAATTTTATCAATAGAAAAAAATTTTAAGTAATATAAGTAGAATAAAACTTTTTATATATATGCTAATTCTATTTATATGAGCCCTTTGCAATAGAAAGGGGGGAAACAGCTGAAAAATTAAAAAATGAACCAATGAGAACATTTAATATAATGTGACTAGAGAAACATTTTTGGTATATTAAAGTAGGACAGGTTACATAATAAAATTTTTAAATAATTTAAATAATTCATAAAAAATTGCATATCTATTTATAGATTTAAAACTACCTAATTCATAAGTTGATGTATAATCATGCGACTCATAATTTAAGATTATTTATAGTTTTGCGAATCTCTAAAAGATTTCGCAAAGAA